AAGAGCTGTGGTGTTTTCTTTTCTTTTGTTTTGAAATGGCCACACTAAATGAGACCTGACAATTTGATAAACCCGTAACAAAGGTTAGCAATTTAAATACATTTGTGACCATTTTTTTAAAACAACAGTCCACACATCAGATTTTGGATATTAGAATGATGGACGCTGAAAACAGAAAATACTAGCCATCACTCAACTGTGTTGCATAAATATTTATAGAAAATATATATGGACAGACAATCCACAATTTTCACTTGGGAAGGAAAGTGGAAGTGCCAGAAATGAGAGGCGGAAGCCAAGGCGGAGTGCCCTCAGCATCCACATTATATATGGATTTTAGCAACAGAGTGCTCCCTATGTTTCGTCGTATCTGTTCCATCGTGCACTGCTCCCCACTGCAGCCATGGGAGGCCATCTAACAAACAGGTACGGCCACGGCCAAATAACAGAGGAGCTCCAATCAGGTAAAGATAGGAGTCCTGTGCTCCCATGTTACATAGAGCTGGGAAGTGACATGCAACAACTATGTTACCTGTCACATGTTACGTTTGAGAACAACAAAGACGTAACATGTTAGAATAATACAGCCACTGGTAACAATGCTGTGATATTTTCAGTGTTACGTTTTTACAATGGTTCCTTGCGGATGGCCATTTTTCTTTTCGAGAAATTTGCGTTAAAAGAATTAAAAACAAGCAACATGATGCTATTAGTCTCTCAAATTAACATGTGACAACTCACTTTCCAAAAAAAGTAACATGTTGTTGTTTTGCCACCCAGTGTTCCAAATACTGGTTTCATATTTGAACACTGCAAGCCAGGGTTGAAGGGGAGGTGGAAAAGGGGGCGGGGGCGAGGATCTGGCAACCTGGGCCGTGTTCTTGAGAAGGCCACTTTCTTCATCAGTGGTGTTGAAGGGACAACCGACTGCAGCTGAATTTCCCCCTTGTACACTATTAATATCAGCTCTATCCTCTTATGCTTCTGCCCAGCTTATCGTAAGCTGCTGAAGATGAGTGGCAACAGACAAATCAAATCTCTTTGCATAGAAAGAAGCTGCCTCTTCCAGCCAAGCTCACTCCAGGAGTTTTTCAAAGACACAGGCTGTGCATGTTAGCCGTTCCAGAGGGATTCCTGCCATGCATGCCCCACATGAAGTTTCTGCCCAACACGGGGTTTTTTTGAGGCAGAGTGTGGTTCCTAGACTGGCAGCCAGAGGAGACAGAATGCTTTCCGCATGGGCATTCTACCAGGCCCTTGTCCTTCTGCAGAAGTATTGCACTCTCAAAACCTCTCTGTCTCAATAGATGGCCGCTGTTTCTGCCTTTTGAAACTCAGATAAGCACACTACTCTGCTCTAAAGTCTAGAATAGGCAAGATAGGCTTTTTTTCCCTGGAGGCTGGAAAGAGCCTGTAGATTGCTACCCTTCCACCAATGTCTCATGTGGAATCAAAAGCATCACATGGTCTTGTTGGGAGTCCAGCTTCATGTGCCATGGACATCACATTCAGGCCAACGTTTCAAATATCTGTCTCAACACCTTTGTGCCATATTTGCCTCATTAAGAGTTCCAAATAATTTCAAGGCTCACCTTTGCTTCTGACTTTTCAATGATCCAATTAAGGTGCTGCCTATTCCAGAACTTTGGTTCTGTGAAGGGAATTCATAGTGATTTTTACATAAATCTGGAGCAACCCTATATGCCTCACTCACAGTGGGACTCACAACTAATGTCTAGGCATTGCCAGAAGTCTCCTTTCAAAGGTACTGTGCTTTTGAGTGCGGAGGATGCTAAATCAAAGCCAATCAGGGTGTTTTTTTTTTTGGTAGGTGGTGCTTAGGTAGGGGACCAAGGGCCCTTTGCATGCTGCTCAGACCTACCCAAAAGAAGCTCCAAGTATAAGTGAAACAAAGAGCACATCAGTAGAAGGCATCTTCATCCTAGCCTCTTGAAGGGTATGGAGGACGGGATCCAGATTTAAACCTTGCATAGGATACAAATCTGAAATGGAACTGCCGTCAGTGGAACTAAGTTGAAATGACTTGTCGTAAATTCTAATTTAAAAGACTCTCTTTCCCACTTGACAAAGCCTGGATCCAATCCAGATTCCCAATCTGGTCCATCCCTCTGTTGCAAACAAAGGGGGCCTGCCCAACAGCAAAAATCCCTCTCTCGAATGGTCCCCAGCAATTCAGAAACACAGCCTGCTGGCTGCAAGTATGTGCCTAGTTCCTTCTGCATGGTCACAAAACCCCAGCTGCTGCCAAGCAAAGCTCATCAAGCAGAGCACGGCCTAAAAATACAACCTCGTTCCTCGCTATTTGAAGGGTGGACGGGCCCCATCCATTTTGTCTACTTGCTAAATCAGCTGCACCTGAAGCTGCCAGTCAGCTATTTTGCACACTTTCAAGCAAGCTCCAACTAGCAGGAAATGGGTGTTCCAAAAAACATCCACAGATGCTGTGCCCCAAAGTGTCATGCTTTTTGCCCATGCTTCTAACCACAGCCTTAGTTAGGTGGGGTGGGGTTAGGGGAGGCCGCACTCTGCAGGAGCACAGCGCTGGCAGGAACCAGGAACAAGTTGCAATTAGCTTGTTTTGAATACACTGGTGATAATGCATTTTGCACAAACTGCTAACCACTAATGATTAAAGTGATTAAATACAATTAAGGTTACTAGAGAAACAGGAAGATTCATCTCATAGCCGCTGACAGGCTTGCAGTACAGGAAGTGTGGCTCAGTGCCGAAGCTTTGAAAGCCAAGTTGCACTATATTTCAACATTGTTATGATTTTTCACCGGAAGAAGCCAGATACATTTTCAGTGCTAAGGTTTTTAGGCTGCGGTTCTAGACATATTTTCCTGTGAGCAAGCCCCATTCAACTCAGTGGGGCTAACTTGTCCATCAGGATGGGCAGGATTGCATTGTGACTGCAATAATCCAAATGTGTTTTTCACCGTATTATGGGTTAGCAGTTTTTAAAGAAAATGAACACATTTCCTGAAAATCTAGCATTCAGTCTTCCCCCTTCTTTTAGCTGCTTTGTCAATCAAATTAAGCCACAGATCATGTACACCATGTTGATTTGTCCATCTGTACACCATGTTGATTTGTCCTTTAGGTTTGCAGCTATAATGATACAACATTAGAGCCACAATTTCTTCTCAGAAAGCTGCTAATAAGAGTGAAACCTCATGCTGGTCAGTACTATTCATGCTTTTGTGCAGTAAGTCTTCTGTTTTAGCTTATACTATGCCCAGAAAAGAATGGGCTTTATTTTTATTAATTTAAAATATTTTAATAGTTTAATTTAATTTTAATGTAATTAGTTTTAAATTAGTTTTGACATTTTGACAATACAGAAGGAGGTTGGCATTACTACTTGAAGCAGTGAATGTTCTGTCTGACACAAGAGCAACAGAAGAACACCTTAAAAATCCACTACTCAACAACCAGATGTCTCTGTAGTTTGAGAGAAAGACAGCAAGATCAGGCCAGTAACAATGAATTCCAACCTTAGAAGCCTTCTCATCTTCTCTGTCAACTATGGAACCCCCTAGGCATAAAGGCATCAGAGGACTTATCACCACCACCATTGCCATCACCCACCCTGACTATAAAACAAGAAGAATGTGGTATAGCTATCCACCAGCAGTAACCAAAACAAGAAAAACAGACTCATACCTTTGTTTTTCATATATCTTATTCTTTTTAGAGCTCATAGTAGATTATGGGAAACCTTTACCTATCTCCTGTGGAAAGTCAGTGGCAGAACCCTCATGTTTTCCATCCAGAAGTTCCCAGGTTCAATCCCTGCTATCTCTAGCTAGCATCACCCCAAGAGTTGTTGAGTGAGACACTGGCAGTCAGTGTTGGCCATGCTGAGCTAGACAAAGGTATGTTCTGCTAGCCAGAGTGCCTCTTTGTGTCGGAGCCAACATCAGCTCCACACACGTACTATCATTCTCAGGTTCTTTTTTTTTCTTTCTAAATCCAGAAGCACTGAATTACTCTTGAGATCACAAGTTTGCAAAACACCACAAGCCTCATCTTTCCATTACAACGCTAAGGCATTACATGGGAAATACCAAATGGGCAATCCACCTTCCAGATGATTCTACAGCAATCAGAGTCACCCCACTGAATGTCACATTCTTTACCTGTCTCCATCATATGGTACCTCACTACAGGATGCCAGGTTACTTAATTTTCCATACATGGTACATATTCCCTGGCTGTTGTTACACAACTGGTTGGAAACATCTGAGGAAGGCTCCGTGGATGCCCAGGTAATATTCCGTGCCACACTCCACTGTTATTGTGTGTGTTCTGTGCTGTCAAGTCAGAACCAAATTGTAGTGACCCTACAAGGGCTTTTAAGGTAAGTGAGATATTTAAGGAGTGGTTTTACCAGCTCCACTCCCCCAGCGAGTTTCCATGGCCAACCAAGGATTTGAACTCTGTCTTCCAGAGTCCTAGCCCATCACTTTATCATCTACACCACTCTGGAAATCCAACTGCTCTTGGTAAGCCCCAAATCCATTCACTCAAAGCTTTAGAATGGGCAGGATTTCATACATAGAGAAGGGGGGTGGGAGTTCCTGTTGCAATCATTTTACAATTAACAGATTAACACCATGAAGTCTAGTGACAAACTGCTGAAGTTGCAGCCTCTATAAAATTAATTCTCCATGCAGTTACACCCAAACCAGTCAGATGATCATAGACATGAATGGGTTTGGCATCTCCCTCTGTTCTGCACCCTTTTCTAAAATCATCTCACAACCACAACAGAATGAAGGATTGCTATCAAGTACAAGCACTTGATTGTTATCTCCTAATCTAACCTGGGCCAGTAATGGAGAAGCCCCATTTCCAGTGCACCTCCCAACCAATGAAGAAAGGAGACCCAGAACAATAACATGTTTCCGTCACAGGTACAACTGCAGGACCCAAAGGGTGCCCAAGTTGCAATGAATGCACTCAAAAACCTCCTATCATTTTTGGAAAGGTTTATAGTCCTTTGCAATGACACACAGTTTTTGTTCCTCCACCTTCCAACCCCCAAAAGACCAACAGGTGCCCACCCGGTGCCAAGGCCCCCCAATTGGATGGCTGGTCTTTGGGACACAGCCGAACACCAGCTGCCGAACAACAAATGCACTTTCAACACCTCCACGGAATATTTACATTCAAGCAATTCATAATAATTGGAAGCTTATAGTTTAGACATTTCTACTAGCAGCAGTTTTTATAATAGGTTGTTTAGCTTTAGATAATGATTCTTATTATTACCGTTACTTTTGCTCATTTAAAACAACACGTGTTAACAGTATCAAAAAATATATACGAGAGGAAAAGGATGGTCCTGCAATTTTTATGAAAAGGAGGAGGGCAAAGGAGAAACAAAACCAGAAGTGGCTTTTTAAAAGGGAAGAAAAGAAAATATTCTGATATAGCTTTCAATATATATATAATATATATATGTATTCAATATAATTATATATATATATATAGGGCAAATCTAGGGAACTCCATAAATCTAGGCTTTTTATATTTTGTTATATAAATACCTACAAATAAATATAATTGCATGGCCCACCTGGGGAGGCCTGCTTTCAGCTCAGACAATACATTTCCAGCAACACCACATAACAAACGGGAGCAAGAACCACTCAACAAGTTAGCACTGTTAAAATATAATACTATGTCACTCTCCCGTGAGTTAACTGGAGAAAGCTGCTACCCTCACCACATCCAGAAGCCCATGACCCTTTGTGGGGGGGGGGGAAGATGGCTCCAGAAGCGCTACCCTCTAGGGAGACAAGAATCCTATGCCTCCCCCCAACACACTTTGTTCCCTCCCTCTCTTTTTATCTCACATCCTGCAGGGCAGGGAGGTGTCAGCTCTCAGGAGGACCTGCCTGTCTGACAGGGTGGGTGGTGCCCCAGAGTTACTCTCTCTCAGGAGGCCAGGCTGCCAAGGGAGAGTGGCTGGAAGCCTGTGCCAGGGCCTCCTCACACGGTCACATATTCCTTAAAGGTCACAGTCAGGCAGTTGGCTGTCACATCTGTAATTATTATATTCCCAAAGAAAGGTTTGAACTCCTGCAGGGGTTCCTCTTCTTCTTCCTCTGCCTCAAAACCTTCCGCTGGCTTCGGAGGCTCTGGCCCAGGTGTCTCTGCCGGGGCCAGCAGGGTCTCCTCCGGCTTCACTTGCACCAGGCCAAGCTCACTGTCCCCCCGGGCCTTGACACACCGCAAGTCTATGGGCTCGTCCAAGTCTGAATCCAACAGGATGACCTCTGGCTGGGACGGGGGAAGGGCGGGGGGCTCGGGCACCTCAGGAGTGGAAGGGCTCAGGCAGGTGGGGGCACTGATGCTCCGAGAAGGGAGGCGCTTCTTGCCACCCTCTTTGTCCCCATGGGGCTCCGAGAGGCAGCGTTTCCGGGAGCCGCCGCCACCACCAGGCGAGAGATTCAGTCCCACGGGGGCAGGGCTGTGGCCTTGTGGGCCGGAATCCAAGGGCCACGGGGCCTGGTGGCTGGGCTTGGTGGTGAGCTGCAGAGGTTGCTGTTCAGGAATGGAGAGCTCTTTGCCTGAGGCTGAACTCTTTTGTGAAACAGTCCCAAGCTCAGCAGGAAGGTGACTCCTCGCCTCAGTCCCAGGCTTTCCTTTGTGGTCACCCCCTGGCCACCTCTCTTCCCCAGGCCTCTTCCAGGCCTCCTGCTGCCTTTCCTCAGAGCCTTTCTTTGTAGTCCTGTCCTCAGCCACACGTTTCTTGTGTGTCTCTCCAGATTTAATCTTCACCGCCTGCATACCGTTCTCCATGTACTTGCTCATGACAATCACAATGCGGCCGTTCTTGTTTTTGTTCTTAACAATCTTCATTTTGCCACCGATCCCATTGCTGGTCACTCCATCTCGAGGGGGAGGTGGCAGCGAGGGCGGCCCCGTCCCACTGGAGAGGTTCTTCTCAGCTCCGATCTTTCCTTCTGTGCCCCCCAGATTCTTTACTGGGTTCAGCAAGCTTTTTGCTGAACTGTGGGACCACTTGTCAGACTGGGACATCAATGGGCTTTTGCTGTGATCCAAGCAGGCCTGGCCTTGCTGTGGTTCCTTGCTGCCCGGCTGGTAGTGGGGCTCATACATTTTGGGATCTGGCTGGTAGTGGTGATGCTTCTTGCTATTCAGCTGGTAGTAGTACTTTCCTTTACTGTGAGGCTGATGCTTAACACTGCTCTCCTTGCTGTTTGGCTGGTACTGGTGGTGCTTCTTGCTATTGAGTTCATACTGATGCTGCTGCTGGCTTTTGCCAGAGCTGCCAAGGTCCAGCTTGGGTCTGTTCTCCACAGCAGGGTCTTGAAGGCCAGTGAGAACATTGGAGCGGCGTGCAAAAGACGGCAGCTGCAAGGAAGGGAGAAGAGAAAGGGCCCATTGTTACTACAGAGATCAAAAGAAAATGTTATCGCATTCTACTGAACCTTTTAAAACCAGAGCTTGAAAATTCTATTTTCTGGATTACAAGGTCCAGAATTTGCACACAACACCCAAATTCTGGGATTCTGGGAGTTGTAGTCCAACAAGTAACTTTTCCAGGTTCTGGTTCTATCAAGTTCTAAGCATGTGTACAACACAAACTTCTACAGCGACCATGATTACACGATGCTCTAAGTCCCAGTCCAACAACTGTACTCTGTCCTTTCCCTAACCAAGTTACACATGAAATTAGAGGCAACCAGATACCCTTTCAAAATCTATTGTCTTTTGGAGCACTAGGGCAAAAATATACATCTATAGAACACAAGTGGATAACCAAAGAAGGAATCTGACCGGGCATGCAAACAGAAAACATTGCTGTGAACTGCCGCAGAACAGCTTCGTCTCCAGTTACTGACTTCTTGCCAAGGAACAGGCAGGTGTGCACAACTCATCACCACTGAATCAGGAACAGTATTCGCTAATCAAAGGTGCTACCCAACAGGAAACGGAAGGTAGCAAATTGCAACCAGCAACCTTCTTTCAGGCTCTTCAAGGAATCCCACCAAGGAATCTCTTTTGTGTATTAAAAAGCTTGTCAAGGACATCCAAGGAACAGTCCCACATTTTTTCCTCTTAGATCAGAATATACTGCATTTCACACAAGCTGGGCAAAACTGCCCCATGAAATCCCAGGCTGGAGTAGCTGCGAAGGCAAAAGAGTCCCCTCTGACATTCATAATTAACAGTGCATGCATAAATTACGCCTATCGATCCACATAGATATGTGTACACAGTGTTTAGCAGAGTACGGCGAAACCAAAATGGAATTCTCCTGCGATGGGAAAGGCACACAGCAAGGATGCAGGTATTTATAAAACAAAAACAAAAAGAAGCAGACAAACAAACAAAACCATCAGCTGTGAATAAAGCCTTTTTAAAAAACCATCATGGTTTGCAAGAATTCCTCTTCAGCACTGCCAGTTTTATCACCATTAGCTGCCCGTATCTGGTTTTGAGGAAAAGCACAACAGAAGGATTAACTTGAACTCACCTGAACAACCAGAGGCTTGGGCTTCGGTCCTCTTTTGCGGTACCCCATTAATTGTTCCTGTCTCTCCCTGTAAAACATACAAAAATCAATAGAGGCATGATCAGGAAACTTCCAACACAGCACCCGAGCTGCAAGCATGGAAGAGGAAGGCGGGCCTTTATGATTCTGTTTAGACATGAACAAAAAACATCCTGTGCACACTTACTTGGGAAGAAACCACCCTGAACACAGCTGGACTTCTAAATAACCCACAGTCTGAAAGACAATGAGATCAACTGCTGAGTAATTTCTCGGGATGCCTCTCCAGGCCCTTCCACAGAATCAGTTGCTTTACTGGAGCAGAACAGAACTCAGACTGGACAATATGATTACTCCATCCTAAAATGCAATTCTAAGCCTCTCCTATTTTACAGATATAAACAATCAAGGAAGAATCTAGAACACAACCATTTTAAAACTGAAACCACACACTTGTCAACAGGGAGTGACATTCCTTCAAAGTCAGGAAATGACAGGAAACTGAAACAACTTTTTGCATGAAAATATCACACATCTGCTGAAACAAGAACTATCAATGTAATTCTGATGAGCTAGGAAGATGAGTAAAACAAATATTACTAGTTATCCTGGAGGTCTGAACAGCTTTTAAAATAATGCAGTCTTCTTCTCTGTAGCAGCACAAGCCATTAAATTAAAGTGGCCAACTCCCTCACAGATACCTTTGGATAGCTTTACCTTGATTGGCAAATTACCTCCCATTTTGTCAGGAGCTTTAATTTTAAGATATCAAAACAAATACAAATGCTGCAATTCTAAATACATTTACAGCTCAATCTTATACAGTATATGTTTACTTAGGAGTAGGTCTCATTGTGGATAGTGGAAACAGCAATAAATCTTCAATAGAAAAAAATCTCAGAAAAATAAAAAACGATATCTCTACTTATCACAGAAAATAAGACTATAACCTAGCTAAAGACCTATACTGTACTTGTAAGAACCCAAATAAATGAATGAGGGCTTCTGTCCCAATAAAAATGGCTAGGAAAATAGGGATGTAAAAAAGGATTGCTAACTTCCAAGCTGATGCTCCTGTTCATATTCCTCAGGCCAAGTACTTTTTCACTTCTCTAAAAAAAGGGAACACACCAAGGAGTAGAATTCTGCAACTGCCAGCAAGAGCAAAGGGGCTTTTGCACAGCCAGCAAGATCTTCTGCACTCCCATGTGCACAAGTGTACCACAGCCAATTCTAGACCAACACGCTGGGCAGGGTGGGGGAAATGCTCCTCTCTCCACCCTGCAGTGTTTTGGCAACCAGCACCAGCTAGCCTCCACCTTCCCACCCATGCAGAGGGAGGGAGGGAGGCCGCGCGAACTCTGCAGGAAAGCCAGAGTGGAACTGGATGCTAATCACCTCATTAGGATTCACAGAGGGGGACCCTCCCCCCCACCAGGCCGCTCTCTCTCGCTGAATTTCAAGGAGGGAGGGACACCTTTCCCTGGTTTGTTTAGCAGCCAAGTCACCCAAAGATCGATCTAACGCGGCGCCCAACCCGGGGTGCATCCTCCTCCACGCCGCCGCCCCCCCCCCGCCGGCCAAAAAGGCCACTTTGCCATTTCAAAGGCAACGGGGCAGGTCTCTTTTCAGCAGCGTTGGGCTGGCCGCTGCTCAGCCACCTGGAGACTCGGCCCCTGCCCGCCGCCTCGCTGACATCTGCAAGGCCGAGCGGCCCAAGGTCACGCCG